TATAATTCCTTATATTATAGCAAAATATTTGTTGAAGTAAGTTTTTATATGTTGATATCTATACAAAAATTTTAAATTAGTGATGAGTAGTTCAAGATTTATAAGTATTTTAAGTTAAATTTGCGTGATAGTACATAGTAGATCAACAATTTGCGCGTACATYTGTACCTCTTCACTCTGCTCATCAAAACTTTAATACTAATGAATCATTAACTACTCTTCCAAAATTCGATTTTTATACTCTGGAGTACTGCATAAAATATTCTGCCACAAAATAAGAAATAAAAATGCATRTTGTAACTAACAATTCAAAAAGCAAAAACGATAAAAATAGCAAAAAATTAAAAAAAAGTTTTAACGATTTAAAATTTAGAAAATAATACAGTTCTAATAATGTTATAAGTTCTTGATATAATGAGTATCTTGTGTAGTATACAGTAGTGTAATATAGATCAATAGATAGCCAATAAAAAATGATGAAAGCACTAGGCTTAATAATAGGCGGAAATTGTACTATATTTATCATAAAATTAGTTGAAATATTCAAATATAAGTTTGTTCTACCAGACTATATCCAAACTACTATTATAATGACATTTAATAATTTAAAAAATGTATTACCTAATTTATTTTTTCTGGAATACATTTAAATACTAGCCCTATGAGTGAAATAACTTAATAATTATTATGTTATCTAATAGTGTGGTACCTAATCGAGATCATTATTTTTTTGAGCTGCGTTGTAACAATCGTAATTTATTACTTGACATTCACGACAACAACAACAACAACAGGTATTACTTATTATTAAGTTTCTGTTGTCTACTCATATAAAATATTTATTATTTATATTGGCTATATTGAAATGTTGCTTGTTATGAGAAAACCATCTAAAACTATTTGTCACTACGACAGAGTGGATCGCGGCCGCGGACGTAATGAAGACATCTACCCGCGTTGTCTAGTGTCTACGTCTTAAAAACATTAACATATGAGTATATGACCAATGACCATTGATTATGAATACTATAGTTAGTATTTTTCATTTCATGATAAATTAAATAGATATGTGAGAAACTCGTGATACGCATGTTTGTGACGAATATGACGTAAGCATTTCGTTAAATGGCTGTTTGGTGAAGTGGTTGTGAAGCCATTGGCGGTGGTGGCTTTAACGGTTGTAGCGGTGGCGGGCAAATAACAAACGGCGAGAAGCTTTGTCACAGTAAGTCGGTTGGGTGCAGGGTGGATGCGCGATTTGTTTCAAAACCGGTATGTTGTTGACACCACACCTATTTAATTTATTATGGTATTTATAATCAATGGTATAACTTAGCAAATTGTACGTTTTGAATAATTCAGAGTTGAACTTAACAGAGTTTAATCTGTTGTGTTTAATTTTTGAAATTAAKTATAACCAAATTTATAAGTACCTAAAAATATTATCTAKTATATTATGACATAGTTTTTTTTTATATATATTTCAATTTTAAAGCGAATTATGAGTATTTTAAAATGATCATAACTCGCTCTAATATTGAAGTATGAAAAAAACTTACACCATCGACTAGATAATATTCCAAC